TAGTTTATAAACAAATGCATACTCGTCACTCTAAATAGGTGATTTAATCACCAAATGTTCTCTTGACTTAAAAACCGAATGGAACTTAAAACGTTCTTAACCGTTGTTAAAAGCATCCATTTACAACCAAGATACCAGTTAATAACAAATTGAACGAAGGACATAGCCCTATGAAACTCTCTCTTGAAGGAATTCAAGGTCGCTAATTTTCTGGTTTTGTTTTCAATTTGCTTTTATTTTTGGCTGCTCACGAAGACTTTTCGGATCAGCTACACGAGCTGTGTCGCTAAGACACCTACAGCTGGGTCACCAGCTACTGCAGGTATGCTTCGAGTGAGACTCGTTTACATCCACATGGCTATTCAATCTACATACATGTGATTTGACGCCTAGCAACCGCCTTTTCCCTTTTAAATCAGTTTCTATCTCGTCAAGATTTAGTTTTAGCGGGAAGATTGAGATAATTATTCGCCAACAACTCAGCGATCAAATGGAAAGAATTGTGTTGGAGGATTTCAATCAAAACTCTGGTAGTGTCACGTTGGTTGAGAAAAATAAATTGAAACTACTGACTAGACGAACCAATTCAAGAAAACATTTGCCAAAACAGGTCGTTTTTGAATCTCAAAATCTCGAGATAAAGTAAGCGATGATCTAAAATATACGGTTTAAAATCCAGCGTTCAACTGTTGGGACCTTTTAAAAGAATATATTAACTATCTTTTGAATGCCTTTTTCGAGTGTACATATAAAGATTCAGATTCGTGGATTTGCAACTCAAGGTTGAGAACCCGTCCACAAATACGCGCTTGTCATAAACTATTTCTTTAGAATTCAAGTACAATAGTGTTTAAATAAGATGTTGTTGAAACGCCAGGGAACGAAATGATTCTCAAATTAAAAGAAATTTTAATATGATTTAATTTTAAAAATAATTTTCTTCATACGGGTTGAAATTTAACTATTTTTCCCTTTTTTTTATTTCTGGCGGCCTACAGATCTTAAGATTTCAAACCCCATATAATGAAAATAGGCGTTTCCCATTTTCCTTTGACGTGTTTTGAGGACAGATTTTGGTTTTTGTTTATTGTAAATGTTATCAGAAGTTGTTACTTCAGATATATTCAGATATATCTCCTATTTGCTGATATGTAGAAGAGTAGAAATGACTAGAAATGGAAAAAAGATTGACTCACGAGGAAGCGCAATAGTACTAAGAGAGACATACAACTTTGTTAAATTTAACAACAAACTGATCCAATGGGTCTTAGGTCATATACTCATTAAAAAAACGCATCTATCCGCGGGAAAACGATAAGAAGGCGTTTTTCGTATTTACTGATAAAATCTAATGAAGCTTCCCTTTTCACGGTTTAATAATACCTTTAGCTTGCTTTTTTAATTCATTGTCAAGCTTTGTATTCGTCTTTGAAAACCATTAAACCTTTCACGTGCACTATGTCTATCCCCAAAACCTTTGAGAATTAAAGTTTGTTACTGGCCGAACAAAGCAGGATTCCGGCAACGTTTGGAGAAAAATTTCAATAAAAACTTGATGGAGATAAGAACTATGTTTAATTTACTTGTGATTATATTGAATGCTATCAAAAAGTGGACATATATCACCTCGAATTCACACAATACCAGGTATTTTGACGTTTTCGTCAGGTATTGCGTAAAAAATCTAAAGAGAAAAATGCTCTATTGTCAATCGCATGGAAAAGCACCAACAACTGCGAATTTAAGAAACAAAGAAATCATCTTATTCGCGGCTTATTGAATTTGAGGGATCCATTGAGGCTGTTTTCGATTTCAAACAACTTAAAAAACTTTGCCATGTTTATCTCCTCCACAAAGTGAAATCCATTTCCATTTTACAGCTTGTAGTCTGTACCAGTTCGTTGTTAAAACACAGCACCTGCTATACCTTCTTGCGGAGCAAAACAGCACCAGTTCAGGAAATTTTTGTTCATGGGGTTCCATTATTGTTTCACCAAACCAAAATAGAAAGTGCGATTTTAAAACAATTCCATTTCCAAGAAAATTTGCGCTCGAAGCGACTGGCTGTAACTACTTCAGAAAATACCATCGAGTTTCTTCACTAGATCTTAGGATATTTTATTGGATTGAACGCTTTTTTTCATCGTGAAACTTATTTCAATATTGCTACGCAAGAATAATTTGCTTCGGTTGGCTAAAATCGTGTGTTCTGTCTTCTTTTTGATCGAAAGCTCTTACTTCTTTGCTAATCACGTTTTTATCTCATTGGCTGCGGCTTCAGGGTAAATAAAAACCTTCTTTTTGGAAGTAATTATAGAACCACAGGGGATATAGAAATAGGAGGAAAAAACTGTGATAAGATGAATGACATCCAAGCCCGCTTCACGTAATAAATGATAATTAGATTGATGGCATTTAGAATTGCTGAAAACAACGCTTACTTGGTTACGCTTTGGCCTGCCCTTCTCTGCTCGCGTTATTTTCGTTAAATCAAAATATTTGATATTCCCTACCTTTGATGCTTGTTTTAAATATTTTGCGACTGAGTTGATGCTTTGCGGATGGCTGCGGATAGCCCGTAGAACACACATTTAAAAAAAAAAAAATTACTTCGGAACGTTGTCGTCTCTTAAATTTCCTGAACGCTTTTCGTAATCTATAGTTTTTTCAACGTATTTGTTCTTCACCGTTTCCGTGGAAGCTGCGTAAAGATGTGTTAACCTTGATAGCGCTGGTATGCATACATGAATATCGCTGCGCCTCGAAAACTGTTCAGTTATGTACGGTCATGTACACACTGGCAAGACCGTCTATTTTTAATGGAATACTTGATAGAGTTTTACATAATAAAAGTAGAAAACATTAATTTTTACTGTGAGACGCGTTTGCTTCTGTTGACGTAGAGGCTTTCTTACAAAACAGCAACGGGAAAATTTCACAGCGTTTCAGACAGGATTATTTCCAGAATTTGCGCTATCAAATTTGCTAAAATGGCGGAAAATATAACAGGTGAAGCCAGTTCCTTTCATCACAAGCGGTGTCCTCGGATAATGGACTCACTCAAGGATCGGGGATAGGTGTGTGCTTTTTCTGTTTTTTTGGAGGGGACTATTTTACAGTATTGAATACGATTCCTTTGGGCCTTGTTTGGGTTCGCGTTTCGCCGCTTAGATCTTAAAAATAAACTCAAATGTAAGCAATTAGCATTTTATCAACAGTGTGTTGAAAAGTTGGGAAATTTGCATCGGCAATCATTTTCTCGCTGGGAGATTATTCCAAAATCTTAATGGAAAACTATGCAAACTCTCGTCTCTAGCATACCTTAAGAAAAGCCTTTAAAAGAAAAGTATAAGGATTGATGATTTTGGAAGGTATACAAAACGAATAAACCGTGTATTTCTTGGACAAAGGACAGCTGGGCCTGACATCTGGTAAACATGGCTTCATTTGTTATCGTCTTTATTATATCAGACCAATATGGGTATTAGAATCACAACGATTTCTATTGTATGTATAATTCGCGTCAGATAAGCTTCGACGACGGGAAGTTTGCGATTACCACTGTACTATCGAGTCAAAACTACGCGTAGTTTTTTTTCAGCGAAACACGAGACACTTTTCTTAATGAGGAACATTCCAGATATGTATTCATTTCACCGAACAATCGAGAATCTAAAAAAAAGTATCCAAAATATAGTAAAAAAATCGTAATCATGAAAGGATAATCGCCAGAGATTTAAACTCTTGTATATTAGTAAAATTTTCAATAAGCAAATCTTGAGTGCTTTTAGTCGAAAATATGGGTTGGATTTAGAAAAAGTGCGGTTTTGCCTTACAGGCAAAGACAGCTAAAATATTTTACATTACCATACCAGGTTCAATTATATTCATTTCCTTTTTAGCGAGCGGGACTATTAAGCTAAGGGCGGAGTGCGAACAACCTGTCGTATTCAATTCTTCGTTATATAGTTGCAATGTTTTGAAGTTCCTTGGCGAATAAAAGTAGCCGCCGTGTACCAATGACGCTTCGCATGTGAGCACAAAAATTCCACCTCACGCCGTGTAATCAGCGTACGAAAATAGATAAAGGCCAAGTTGAGCTTTGCTTGATTGTAATGAGCGAGTTGACGCACAGAACGAAAAAAGTAATGATTGCGCATTGACTTAAGTTCGAATTTAAAGCTTTGACAACAATACGTCCAATTCGGCCGTCTCTTAGTTTCCCCTTCGTGCAGTTTACCATCATTAGCTCGGAGAGTTTGTTTTCCCAAAATTAATTCTTAACCAATGAAAAGTGATAACTGTCGTAATTATCTCCCTTCCAGCAGTACTCATTAATATAGAGCTTAGTTCATTCATCAAGCTAATTCTACGCGTACAGAAAGGTTTGGTTTTAGCGGCCAATGGCGCTAGAGAGATGGCCGGCCCCTTACACGTGCATGGCGTGTGCCAAACAATAACCCTATTACACTTGAATTGGAAATTGCACAGGATTCGAGCTCATTGGCTCTTTTCTTTATTGAGGGGAGACTGTAAGTGCGTTAATGAATTTTAATAAAGGGATTAATTGTCTCAAGCCGATTTGTTGGTAACAAAAATGTTACACTTGAACACACAATTCCACGCATGGTTACCGCTTGGAAAAAAATCGCGTCAAGATTATTGGTACGAAACGTAGCTTCGAAATACGATATAAAGTTATGCATCTGTAATTTCCGTCAGCTCTACTGCCAGTTTTCACCGGTGCTAATCTTGTCGGTCAATGAAAAGATACCCGTAACTGGTGATTGCCGAAATTTTTGTTATCAATTTCCCCCCGCAGATGTTTCATGAATGAGTTATTTTTTCCCAACGAACCGGGTCAGCCGATAGCTGGAACTTGCGACCGTGTCAACTAGGACAGGTTCAGCTGTCGTTGGGCGCATGCGCAGTATTAATTTTTAAACTGCGCATGCGCATCTGTTTGGAAACAGGTGCATGTGAAGTGCAAATGTTGTTAACACAATGATAATGATTGTCTCTTTCTTTACGGGCACTCTCACTGCATTTAAGAACATTTTCACGCCATGCTAGAAGGCTTCAGTTCACTGTGAAACGTCTCCGAGATGAATCGCGACAGTTTACTAAATAAGACTCTTAGTCCTCCTCTGTCATCTCGAGTGCCTATTTCTCATTCTAATGGTATTTCTTACTCTAATTCTTCGCTTTCCGGAGGTCAGATGAATGAGCCAAGCTGGATACCCTCGATTCGTGGATCTACTCACTCGGTATTTATTCTAAAATTTTTATTTGATGCGTTTTGTAATGTTTGCGTTCGCGCGTCCTCCGCTTGGTCTCGAGTACTGGCGTTCGCTTTGGCGCTCGCCGGCAATTTTCGCAGTTGAAAACTTTTTCCCCATTCGAAAAAATTTAAATTGATAATTTTTCTTTCTTGTTATAGCTGTCTTTCCCGTCAAGATCTAACAACCTGGTATGTGATAAATAAAATAAATACAACTTGATCGAATTCATTTCCGTTAGTCAATATTACACTTGGGTGCTCAAACATCGTTTCTGCCTTCCTCTTTGCAGATTCCTCCAAGTGTGTTTGATGGGTTTGACGACTCTCACTTACTCACTGCCTCGCAGCTCGAACCGATGCCGAAATATCTCTCGACGAAGCAGAACAAACCGTCTGGATTTACGAGCTTGCACAGCTATCACTCCACGCACGGGCATGATACGAGCACGTATGATGCCCACGATATTCTGGATCAAATCTCGGCTTCGCTCCAACCAACAGTAAGTGAGTCAGCGTTTGATAAACCGTTCGAAACGCCGTCTCCAGTCACCGCCACGCCTGTCCACTCTTTACACTCCGCTATCCACTCTGCTATTAGCGTCGCGGCCAGTAGCGACGATGTAATGAATCCGCGAGAGCTAGAGTGGTTCGCAGAACGCTTTAAACAAAGAAGAATCAAGCTCGGAGTCACTCAAGCGGACGTGGGAGCTGCGTTAGCTCATTTGAAAATCCCCGGCGTAGGATCGTTGAGCCAGTCCACGATTTGTAGATTTGAGTCGCTTACACTAAGCCACAATAACATGATGGCTTTGAAACCCGTGTTGACGGCGTGGCTAGAAGAGGCTGAAAAAGCGTACAAATGCAAGAACACAACCAGCCAATTCCTTCCTAATTCGGATAAAAAGAGAAAGCGAACATCGATTGGAGCTGCGGAGAAGCGTTCGCTGGAGGCCTACTTCGCGATGAATCCAAGACCTTCAAGCGACAAGATAGCGTCGATTGCAGAAAAACTAGACCTTTCAAAAAATGTCGTGCGTGTTTGGTTCTGTAACCAGCGACAAAAGAAGAAAAGAATGAAATTCTCCGTTCATTGAAAGATGAAATAACTTGGAGTAAAACAAATTGAATTTCCTTCCGAAAATCCCGTCGGAATCGCTCCATGGATCGACTTTCGTACGCGTGGATGGCGATACGGAGTGGTCAACAGCAATTTTGGAGTAAATTACAAATGGTGAATCTTATTTCTATTATAGACTGAAAATTTCGAGTCAATGAACGAAGCAAGTCCTGAATTTTATTGCTCCTACTATTAAGCCACTGAAGTTTAAATAAGAAAGCCCGCCGCTACCTAATGAACGGACGCGCTCGAAAATGAGCGACATAATCCCGTTGAAAAGCGATGCCTATGCGAACTGTTATGGAAGATGTTCTGTTATCCTCGAGAAACTTGTCGCGCACAGCTTAACAGCCCGCAGGTAAATAATATTCAGTGTATACCCTATTAGCCTAACAACTAAAGGAAGAAATTCCGAAGCACAAATCACTTCCGCCGAGTAGTAAAATTATTCATCGTACATTTTGCCACAATTTCATCGTAGTTGCTACTAGAGTTTCGATTTTAGGGCCGAGGATTGATGGTAATAAGCCCCGAAATCATTTTTCCTTACACCTGTTTCATTTTGGCAAAATCAATTTCCCCATTTATGAAAAGTTGAATGTATTACTTGCAATTTATGTAAATTTGGAGGTTCTTTGTGAAGAAAAGCCGTTAAGACGTTATTAGTTTAGCACAGAATCGAAGGAACTACAGAAAATCGTTAAAATTAGACGAAAACAAATATGAAAACGTCTGTCGCTTCAAACGGTTTTTCTTCAAATAGAACCACCACACACACATCAATTACGCGGCCGGGCTTGGCTTTGTTCAACAGTGCAGTCCAATGAAAGCGATCCTTTTAATTGCTTACAAACACTTCAGTAAAGAACTTATACTGCTAGATAGCAATAATGGCATAGGCCGGGAAAGTATATGTATTTAAATATATATTTTGAAATTTTATACGTTGAGGAAACTTTTATGAATTAGTCTTTACGATGTATATTTATTGACGCTGTACAAATTTTACCGCTAGCACCATAATTTAAGTCATTTTCTGAAACTCTATTTCGTTTTTAATTCGCTGGTGCTGCGAAAATGTTGTGAAAGGTTAAGTTATCCAAAACACCGCATAAGAATGAAAACCAGTTTTCTCAATTTCCAGATTTGTAATGAATTGTGCTTAAATAGACGAGAAGTTTTAATAAACTGAAGCTCAAGTAAAACAGTCGAAAAGCGTTTTCATTTGTTTTGCTATGCGTTGCGCGCCGGTTTCAGACCACCCGTATCCATAATTTCCTTGCGTGGTACATTGTGGCGAAACTCCATTGATTAACTCAGGCTTTCAGTCCTGCCTTACGGGTTGTTTGGTGAATTAATGGCGTTTTCAAAGACGAGCTAAGGATACGAGAAAAAAAGATTTATTTCACAGGAAGCGTTTTATTCTTTTTCAAAATGACATTTTTAAACATATTTTGTTGTGAGATAACATCAAAAACCCACAAAATGAAAAAGAAAATTAAACGCGTAGTAATTTTGGATATTCAAGTCATCATCATGTATAAAGCGCTGAAGAACGAGACAACAGCGCCAGACCATTACGTAGTATCACAGAACTGAAAATGACGTGGTTTACATTGGAGAATATTAAACACGATATTTACAGTTTTCTGGAGTAATTTTCTTACGCTATTTTAGGACAAACATCAAAAACCTTCATTGCGAGTAATCGAACGTGTGAGATTTTCTTTCACGACATACTAAGGGAATAGCTTGCTTTGAAAGTAATTATTTCGTCTTCAGCAGGTGTACGGATGAGAACTTGCAATATCCCGCTAAGATTTTTCATTTGGAGATTTCTCGTCTGTACTTAAATGATAAATTTACGAAGGAAGTTGTTTTAGAATTTTTTAACCGCAGTTTATGTAATCGAGGTTCAAATCGATTCTGGCGCCATTCCTTCTTGGAAATTTGAGTGTGTCGCTATTCAGCTGACAAACAAAACATGGCTGAATCCCTGTCGTTTAGTACAGGACCCAATGACATTCACACAATGGTCTCCGCCATACTCCCTAACACCTTATTCGATAAAAAAAATTGTATTTTGAAGTCATGAATGGTTATTCCTTTTGACAAGAACTTTCTATCACGCTTTAAATCGTCAGATTCACCGCATTGTTGGCAATTTTACAAGTGTTTCTAGCACGTTGCTTCCTGTCGTGGTTTGAAGCGGTCGCACGTGCTTGTTTATAAATGATACTACCCAAAGCTTTTTCCCTGAAAAAAGTAATTACTCTGAAACCATGCTTGTAGTGGCTAAGCATAAAAGAAAATGAAGCCCTCGGGCGAGAAAATGTTAAGGAACTTTTATAACCTGGATAGTTTTACGGAAGCGAATCTCACGAAAAACGAATCATTTTCGACGCTAACAAAGCACGACACGAGATCATTTCATGAGACAAAGGCAAGTTCTGGGCAGCTGTTGTAGTATTACATGCAACCAACGTCTCCAAATAATACTCTACCTTGGAAACACTTAATTAGAACTCTTCCAATAAAACCTATTCCGTAACCTGAATAAACAAGAGGAGTCGTGTTTAGGTCTCGAAACGGAAATCTAAAATCACTATCAAAGATGACTTGGGAAATACGCAGGTATTTGGCTCCATATATCAATAAAGTTGAGGCTAACATTGTATATGAAAAAGGATTATGATTCGAAATAAAATTAATTTTTTAGGTCATCAGAGAATCGGAAATTTTTAAACAGTTGTAAGAACTTTCTTCCGAAATCGACGAAATTAAAGCTACTCGAAGTAATATAAACAAAATTTCCAGTTTGACGTTCGGCAACAGCACTTCAGCTCAACACTTCGGTAAAAAATTTCTCCAATGAATGAGAACAAAACGAGAAGTGATGCCCATCCGTCAGATATGTGAACCTCAAACGTTTAAATAACGAGCTAGAAATTTGAAAAAATTAATGACATAATACAATCTTCTCTTATAAGGTAAAGTAAGTATCACGACAAGAACGATTGAGAGCCTTTTGCATAAGGGCCACAATGGTCGCATATAACCTAAGTTAGCTAAATTAAGGAATTCCTCTAAGCATCGCTTTGTTGGAGTAAGGAATATGATCCTATTTTTGTCAAGGTTTGTTTACTGTAACCTGCACCTAAAGTGCAGTGAAAGGAGACAAGTTTTACATGCCTTTACTGTGTTGTGCGCAATTTGACAGAGTAGAAAGGAAAGATTTCGCACTATTTTTGCACATAATTTATACGCCAGCAACAAAATTATGGATAAACTTAGCAAAATGGGCTTCACCTGATAACCAGGGGAGCTGCATGAAAGTATTTCGTAATAGTGCTATACGGCTGAGAAAAATGATTGCATGCAATGCGGCTACAGGGAGGGTTTTTTATCTCGCGCGATCGTTTCGATCGTAGCCGACTGAGAGATGCCTTCGCCCCAATCGAGAATGGCCTTGTTTTGAGAGACGAAACAGTCAGCTGTGAGGGAGAAAGAACCACATAAGCGAAACATGAAACACCTGTCAGGTCGAGAATCATAACCACTCGCTGGGGGAGATATAGAAAGATAGATTTCCACGCGAACAAAAATTTCTCAGGGCTGATTCGTTCGATAACTGAGGGTAAGAAAAAGTTCTAGAAAGGAAATATAAAGGCGAAAAAATCAGAAGAATCTTGTGGCGGTAGATTTCGTCAATAAAAAAAGTGTAATCGCTTGTCGTGGTCACTAAAGAATCGACTACCAAAACAAACCGAGTTTCTTTGATGAAAGAATAATTTTTGTCGTAATGTTTCACAATTCTTAGCTTGTATTTTGGTAAGGGAATAAAAGAAGGAGATTGCTTCACTTCCTACGGCTACTAACTTTAATAGAAGATTCTTTTCAATTGATTTTTCCAAAACAAACGGAATTCATGATTATGCGAGGTAGGAGGTAATGAAGAAATATAAACAAAGTAAAATCAGTAGAAGTATATGCGTGTAATAAAATTCTATGCTTACCCAGTTAAAATATTTAGAAATATTTCCCCATATCGTCAAATAAATTTTAAGATTTGTAAAATGTTATTTCATGATTTCACACTCTCTTAGCTAGGTGAACTTTCAAATCCAATCTTCAGACGGCCATTTTGAATTTCTCCTTGGCCTTAAAAATTAAAAACAAACTTCAATCCCACTCCCGAAAGAGTGCTAGAAAGCTTATTTTTAAAATGTTTTCAAACGAACTGCAACTTGAATGATTTGGGAGGGGAAAACGGGAGGAAGAGAGGGAAATCTCCATATCTACGCTTACGTGCAGTGGCCTTTAAACCTTAAGGCGGTTACGTACCGTACTTGAGTTGACAAGAAATGCAACTAAAAACACGAAGATAAGAAATTTGTAGCAACGCTACAAGCAGATAAAATTAGCCACCAACTTAAATATTTCATGCTAACATTTGGAAGCTACAAAATTTTAATTATGTAGGAAAACGACTTTGAAGTAGTGGGATGATTGCTGAATGAACGCGTGTCGTTCAAAATGAAATTCCCTTAGTGAAGGTAAGAAATGTAATATTGCATCGATATTTGCATAAGTCTTCTTCTGATGCTTCAGAAATATATATTAAAGCAAGCATATTCCATTGTTAGAGTCACACAGAAATAAGAATCCATTTTACTACGGGCGTTTTTTCTCGTAAATTGAAAAGCTCATCGAGTGAGTGTCAGAGAGTGCAATAAAAATCAAGTAACCTGTACTCAATCATCTCGTCAACATGACATAATAAAGAGAGGAACTTATACTTGTCTCAAGGACAAACAAACGAAAGTCTAAAATTAAAATTCTCTTGCAGAAGTTAACTAAATTTATGAAACATTTTATCCGGCGCTTTTATATTCTGTTCCCCTTTAAGGTTAACTTGTTGCGTCTTGCTGAACACAATTCTGTCGTTGTGAAATTAATTATTACAATTTTCAGCCTCGGTCTCTTCTGCTGGTTCTATTGACTGTTGAATACTTAAAAGCTAGTAAACTTTAAACAAGTAAAGATCAGAATTATGAAATTTTAAAGTGTTCAAGGATTTTATTTATTGATGTAGAAAGGTAAGCCGCAAAGCGACAGAACAAAACAAGATGTTTTATCACTTGAGATTCGCTGGTGAAGACTCTTACGATGAAGGAATCTTGGAAATGATCAGGGCGATACCCGAATCTTTCAAATTTGTCTCACCTTCCTAATTCCAACATAAAATTTCGGCGCCGACGACTCCTAATTAGCTATACATGATCTGAGCTTTATTGCGATGAATTGTGAAGGGTTCCTCACTCAATCCAAGCGTCGATAACAGAAGAACTATGAGGATACCGAAAATATTCTTTACACGGCAACTCAGCTAGCAAAGTTCTCGAGAAGGTAAGAATTTCATGACAAAGAAGTTCATCTCAAAATTCCGAATTTTACCTATATCCTGTAGTAAATATGCTTTAATAAGAAACTATTGTCCAAAAATAACGATAGCGTCTTATTTCTGTCAGTGTGAAAAGAGTCGGTTGTTAATCGTCAGCATTTGTTAATCAGAAATTCTGCTCGCGTCAATTTCTAAACTAAACGTAAATTTTGCACAGAATGCCTGATAATGAAGTGAAAACACCTTGAAAGAAAAATGACATGGTAATGAAGTGCGCAATGCTGCAGTCTTCATTCGCATTTTAAGAAATTCTCTTTTAGATGGCAAACACAATATTCATCGAGGCCTTCTACCTATCCGATTTAAGTGGCAGATCGAGTCAATATGGTGTGTTTTACCAAATACGATCGGTAATAAATTCCGATTGTCCTAGTTTGCTAGCATGGATCGACCGAAAATATATCTTTTACTCAAGAGGATAAGATATCGAGGTTTGTCCTGTGAAAATTATTTCAGTGTGGAGTATTAAAATTTGAATAAAAGGCTAGTTTGGAAAGGTATCGTGTACGTGCACCGATCAATATCGAAAAACAAAATGAAGAACGCAATGGCTGAGAAAACTGTTCAATCTAATGAAAAGTTCTTGAGGGAAAATAAAACCATATCACCTGATGCTTTAGACCAGAAATAGTAAATATTCACCACCACCTGTCATGCTTTAGCCTGTTCTGAGAAAATTTGAATTATAACAGCGTATAGTACTGCCTCGAGCTTTAAACATGGAACAAGTAGAGCACGTAATCA